GTACTTAGTTCAATATTTTACGTATATGTATATATGTTTGTATGTGTATATTCGATTCACATGATACAGAAATATATACGAGTATGAGTACGATTTCCTTTCTATTTATCGTAAAGAAGATTGAATAGTATAAAAAAAACTTGAATCAATCAACTAAATAGGTATACACACTCTTCCTTGTATGACATGACGCTATTTGCGTCATTCGCTATAGTAATAATCTAGGCATTTTCAAATGTTCTATCACCTACATGCCACGTCACATATCAAATACCGGATTATTCACATAAGAAACTGGGTTTGGATTATATCCGAATCTCTTCAGATATAAGTCTTCCTCTTCCAAGGACAAAGGAAACGAATGAGAGACGCCTGTATGTAGCTGACATGCGAATGTTAAGATGGAAGTGTAGTGTGACTCGAATGGACTGAGTGAGTAATGACCACATTAGAGGAAACCCGAATGTAGTACCAGTGGATGAAAAGTTGAGAAGCGTGAAGTATAAGTGAAAAAAGTTATAAGAATGGAACTTGACGGATATAAGAGTAAGAATGACCAACGAAAATATGGATGTACTGCGTGAAAGAAGATATGGCTAGGAAGGAAGTAGTAAGTAATATACTGACGAGTGATAGAGGAGAATGGAAGAAGAAAACTCATTGCACCGACCCCAAATAATCCTCCTAATAAGTCCTCCTTATCACACCTACGTTTTACTGCAGATGGAATACTAACTAATATAGTACAAATATCTTGACGTTTAAACGTATAGAACAAGGACTGATAAAACTTATCTTTCATATCACGATATATGAGTAATGACAAGAAAGGGTGTGTATTACAAATTCGCTGACGTCACGTAGCGTAAAAAATATACCTAAAGATCAAAATTTACGATTACGTACGAAACGTTTTGATATCTTATTGAAAAAAAAAAACACATGAACAAGTCTAGTAATAAGAACATCACAGTTTGTCATTTTTCTCTTTTACCCATGATGTCATTTTATTTAATATCAAAGGGAGATTTTTTTCTTTGATGTAAAGAATGAAACGACAGGTAGGTAGGTAAAATACTTTTATGTATTACAATCTATTACTTCAAGTACAAAATAGCTATAGTCATTAAAGTATATGAATATTACTCTTAACTAGTAACTCCCATTAAAACAATATCACAATACACTCAATTGTTTCACAATTTTTTTAACCTTTGATCTGTGTTCTATGCAATGTCTGCCATTAGAATTTCCAAGTCAAAATCAAATAAAGAACACGTTAATTCAAGTAAGCGTCATTGGTAGTCTACAGTCACACCTTCTTTGTTGACGAATCACAGATATGAAACGAAAACGGAATAAAACCAGCGATGCATCCATCTTCAAATTGACTGATTGCAGTAAGAGATTTGTTAAAAAAATCGATACACGTTACTCAACGTTAAGGAAACAATCCTTCACACAGTAATTTTTTATCATTTTCTTTTTTTTAATCGTGCAGAATCCCTTCTCTTCGAGGATTTATTTTAAAAAGAAAAAAGTTGTAAAAGAAATCCAAGTCAATATACATACAGTCATACTTAAATTAATATACTTGTAACCTCTTTCAAATTATAAATAGACAAACACAACAGTTAAGAACCAGTTCGGCTGCCCCAAATCAAAACCCAGTAAGGGACATTTTTTCTGAAATTACTTTTTTTTTGCATATTTCGAATTGTGAAAATCTCACACATAACAGATATGTTGACACCATAAAACCTACTAAGTATACTATACTCTATCAAAAAACCAGATCAAAAACCTAGTAACTCGCTTTTACCATGTCAAAACCTAAAAAGTCACTAGGTTTAGTTATGGTAAATGAGGCTTACTAGGTTTTTGAAATGTGACGCGACGCGCCTAAAATGAGACAGTAAATACAGTAGAGACAGTAGAGACAGTAAGTACAAATGTTATATAGACGATAATCATCAGCTATCTAACGAAGGAACACACTCATATATCTGCGGACACAGTACACGCTAACATTTAACTATAAAAAAAAAAAACAAATAAATATATACGATTTCCAGGATTCTTTGCCCTTATGCTGCAACAACCAGATGCAGATATCATAGAAAATGAATTTGTTAATGAATCCAGTTCATTCAGGCAATACTTTGAATCTGGAGATGTATTCATTCTAGATAGAGGTTTTGGGGACTCATTGCCTCTTTTACAGCATTGCGGTTATCATGTTCATGTGGCTTTGTCTCCAGAAGATGGTGAATCACAGTTAACAACAAGAGATGGTAAGAAGTCCAGAGCTGTGACTATGTGTCGATGGGTAAATGGCATTTTTAAAACACGATTTAAAATATTTCGCCAAAACTATTTTAACAGGACTTCTACACATTTGATGATTAATAATTCATCAGAATATGGAAACGCAATCTCAATAGAGCCAAGGCAGACTCTAGAAATACAAACGTAGGCTCCGAAAATGTTGGGGAATTTCCTATTTTAACTTACAGCGACTTAGTACTAATCGCTTGTGGTACATACCAATTAAAGCAAGCTTACTCGTATTATGGTGAGCAGATAAGAGTTAATGGTTGCTACCAGATAGAAATATGTAATGACCACAGGAGCAGTATTATGGAAAGAATACTTTAGTCCTAACTGCTCTTTACTTAGGGCTATAATCGCAAGTCGACACATCAGTTGAAATATATATTTGATGTATATTTTAATAAGTGGCAATGATTCTGTCAGAAGTGCGATTAAAAAGTATTGTTGGCCGTTGAACGGTAGGATGTTGTGCCCATATAATGACAGTAATATGGTATTTGGGTTGGGTACGACATCAGACTAAAATTTTCCCTATAGCTCAATTCCTGGATGTATGAGATCATAAAATACCTAACAGAACTATACAAAACTTGATATTCTATGTGTGTATTACAACAAAATTATGAATAATAAAAATTTGCTAAAAGTATTTTTGAAAGTTAAAATCATTTTTTATTCAATTTAATCCTTGTAGTCTTATATAATCATTTTGATCATTTCATTTTTTTAAATGTATATTATCATTTCCATATGTCTTTATATGCGTGCACCTAGGACCGAAGTGTCTATGGGTGGTGGTGGTGGGCATTCCCTTTTTGCATGGAGATAGCTATAGACAGAACCTATATAATGATACTCAATGAATGATTATATAAATAATTGTTCTCATTTTTCATTTAATTTTATTTGTTTAATTCATCATTATCATCTTAGCCGTGCCCTGCTAGACATAGTTAATTTTTAGTTCTGTTTAATTGAAATTAACACAGTAAATGACACAGAAATCTTTTTTTTTGCCTCTACGAAATATGCACATACTAGAAATAAAATTGATCAGATTGCATATTCAAAGTCCCCATTTGAAAACACAGCAAGTACTTATACTATATTTTGAAAGGGTGCTTATACTAGGCTAGGGTCAGGACAGCGGCAAAAGTTAAGTTTGTTCATTTTCAAAGTTAAGAAGAGTAAAAACGTGAAGTGTACATTATTTTTGAAATATTTTACACATTTTGTAAAAAGTGGTTAGTATTCTATCCAATAAATATCACTTTTTTAATTTAACACTAACACTTGTAACGCTTGTCCGTCTTGACCTTGCACCTACCGACTATTACTTTTTCAAAAATTTAGACAACTTTTTAGTGGGTAAAAAATTCAATTCCCGAGAGGCAGTACAAAATGCCTTTGAAGAGTTTGTTGCCACCCGTCCAGCTGATTTTTACAAGAAGGGCAGCAATAAACTGCCAATGCGTTGGCAAAGATGCGTCGATTGCATGGGTGATTACTTCGAATAACAGAAATAAAAAAGTTTGAAAAAATAAGTGCTTTCACTTATTGCATACAAAACGGCAATTTCATAGGTAAAGACCTAATAGTTTTTGTTTCATTGATTCTGCTGTAAAGTTTAAAGTAAAATAGTTGATTTTATGTTTTGTTTGGATATTTAAAATAATGGGAAACAATTTATTTATTAAAACCAAAATGATTAGTGTGGATAGACACATTCTATTATTTTGTGCAGCAGCCACTGACTATATACTTTTTAGTTGACCCCTTTGTTGCCCCATCTGCTAATTTAAATTAGAACCGAAGAACTCGACTGACACCTTTAAAGCGATTTCGATTTTTTAAAATATTAATACTCGTCAGAACTCAGAATATACGTGATGAAATGGAGCTAGTTGTGAAATTACAGAAGAAACTCCCTCATAGAACACGTTCTTGCATCAGGAAAAAACAAGAAATATTATGCAGAAATTGACATAAATACACACACAATACACAATACACACTTTAAAATTAGTAACATTTAACACAAATTCTATTTTACAAATTATCGGGTGTCACACACCGTTTAGGAATTTAGAAATAAGATTTAAGGAGGAATTATTAGTAACGTAACTAATTGTGAAACAGAACTTAGAAAAAAAAATACAAAGAAAATACCATTTTTAAATATGTACATGAGACTAAAATTAAAATTTTACCATTTATTTATTTTTATGCAGATTAGTTTCTAAAACTTTAGCTACATTATTTTGATTTACTTTAATACGACAAATGTAGAAGTGATTATAGGTACCTATTATAGATATACAAAGCCAATGCTGATCAAGTAAGTTATACGGACCAATAAATACGGTGGGTAAAAAAGGGTTATGGAAAACCAAAACCGGCATCGCGTTCTAAACAATAAGTCCGAGCTTGATGATTGTCATTAATACTTCCAAGAAACGTGTCGACGGGCGCCTAAATTCTAGACATTTTATGGAAGGCGAGAATAATGTCAAGAGCAGTTCTGTAATTAAATGTTCTCGTAAAATACTTTCAAAATACATGATATCAGACAATCATTACTGCTTTTAGGCGTAACAATGCAGGTAAAAGGTTATAAATATAGATACCTCATTTAAAACAACTTATAAGACTGATAAATTACTGACCTATCATAGTCACGTGTCTCACAGGTTCACACACATTTAATAGAAATTAAAAATAAATTATGCCGAATGCGACTCATTCGCTTCACTCGACACGGAGCGTTCCGTAGCACTGTTGAAAGAAAAGCGCGGGAGCGTCCGGCCGGCGCTCATCAGCTCAGCCCCACAGACCAGTGTGTGCCCGCGTGTTGTAGGGGATGCACGACTGTACGTTATATTTTCACGTTTAATTAAACATTTTCGGATTGTAAATTGTTAAAAATTAAGTCTATATTGGTGTGTTGTTATTTTCGTCTGAGCATCCTGTGCCAGTGGTCGTGAGAATACAAAGGATTTCTTGAGTGCAAACGGTAAGATATTTCTGGATATCACATATTAAATGATGCCGACACAAATTTTAAGGGCTTAGAAAATGTATATTTATACATTATTTTCAGGAAGAGTAATAATAGATGCTCTACTACTTTTATTAGAATAATAACTTTACATTTTTTAATTGTTAATTGTGTATTGAATATTTCCAAAAATCACGACTCCCATACATAAATACAAGTAGCTCAATCGAATTTTGCAGTGTCATAGTGTTAATAAATATTCAAGAAAACCAAATGGTAACTATGTACATAAAATTCAGTGAAATAATGTCTAATTAATGAATTATTCCGAAAGTCATTTGAATAGGTTTGTATTATAATGACTTGAAAAATAAAATATAAACATACCTATGATTTAAAAGTATACTTATCCATATACATAATATATATACATGATATATGCAAGAATATTTATTCAAATATAAGAAAAGTTATACAAAACTCGTAAAAACGAATGCTTATATTGTTGTTAAAAATATTGTATTATTCATTGAATAGAATAGAAACAAGAAAGATTATTATTAAATATAAAAAACCAGTATATTTTATTACTAACAACTAAAACCAATTCTACTAGGAAATTAGTCATGGCGATAAAATATATTCAGAATAATACAAATAATAATATTATACAAAGAAAGGTACTTTATTGAGACAGTACTAAAAGACCCTGATGTCGCTTGCGATTGTTTTATAGATCTTGTTACATTTTCTCTATTTTCTATGTCCTGTATAATTATTTTTTTACCTAAAAATTAATACGAATTAAGACGCAACAAGATAAGATGAAGGCTAACGCTTATGATTCACAATGCAGAGCCTTGAAATAAAAAAAGAAAACTTTTAATCCCTCTACGTAACTAGTCATAAAAAGACTTATGTTAACGAGAAACCACACAAAATTTCATAATTTTCTTTCAAAACATACAATGTATGTACAATACACTAGAATGTAGGTTAGTAGTCACGTCAAACAGTGCGTAAGCTATCGAGAGGGAAATCCGTAAAGTGCCTGGTGCGTAATTTTATGGATACTTAATATTTTGTTTGAAAAAATAGTGATAACGAATACATATTTATAGCATTCCCGTTTTCGTTTTTTAATCGTCATCAGCTCAATAAGGGATGTCTGCTAGCTAAGTTTCTTTCATAACAGATTAATCTAAGGAGCTGGAGGATAATCTAAAGATTATTAAAAGAAGAAAATGGGTCTTAGAGCGAATAACGAAACTGAAATAATACATAATATTATAAATCTCCAACACAGAAGTGTCTAATATTTTCACGAATATAAAACTAAAGTGACGTTTCCAGTGTAATCTATACAGCTGTATTATCAAACAATTCGTATTATCGGATGAATGGGTGTTAATTGACATTGTCCCGAAAAGCTCGTGCGTGTATCGAACACTATAAAAAGTATTTTACATTATACACGTCACTAAAAATTACATAATTTAACACATTCTCAACTCAGATGTGTCGAATATTTAGTTTTATTTTTACATCACTTGCAAGGCTAAGCGATAAGTAAATACTGATACAGTGTGTTTTATGCGCACCTACATAACACAGGACGTTACTCGAATTAGGCAGTTGCAACACTTTCAAATCACACGTTTATTCTTATTTATATAAACTGTTATTATAACAACGGTATGATGTTTGAGGTCTAAATAAAAAAATATGCTTATATTTACGAAAATTTTGGTGATATATTTTTTTAACTTCGATTGAAAGGCATCTAACATCAATGGAACTAATATAATTAAGTACCACTCAAAGTTGGACTTAATATGACACGGTGGGACAATGACTGGCTGCCCTATTTTACCTTGGAAATTAATAGCATCTGAACAAATGGTATAGTTGAAAAACAAAATAAATCAATTTCTTTTCATTAACATTATCATGAAAACAGTAAATTTTTAAAAGCGTTTTTTCTTTAACTAATATTTTTTTGGCACATTGCTTTTCAGCTTAAAAGTCGTAAAAAAAAAACAATTCTTTACTATTCTTTACTGTATATTAACAAATATAAATTTTGTAAAATACGAGTATACTCGTAGTTCGATTTCTGTAAGTTTCTGCGAGTTTCTAACTGCAGAAGGAAACATGGAAACACTGTTAATGTTTTTCAAACATAGAAAGGCTAAGCTAAATAATCGTTTACTTATTAAACATTGTTGGAGCGACGTGTTGCGACGACGTGACACATTGACTTGTAATTGTAAACGAAAGACTTGTAAAGGTAGAGAAAACATTCATTGCTCTTGTTTATAAGTTACTCTAGTTAAGTTAATATCGTAAGTACTAGTTCAAATAATTTAAAAGTTTCATTACTTTGACAAAAAGTATAGCACTTATAGATGATTCCTAAAATGTAAAACGTTTTAATACTCGTAGCTTGCATCGAAACAAGTTTTTCTTTAAATGGCAGAACAGGTGTTTGAAATGGAACTTATTGATTGGGCTAAATACAAGTTGATGTTTTTTTTTTATTTACCTATATTTTATCAATTTTAAATTTAATTATCAATTCCGCTGTTTCTGTTTTCGATTTATATTAATCGTTGTTATGAATATTGTCGTATACGTCATTTAGAAAAAAACTGGGTCTAAACTGCATTAAAGCATTTGCATTTTTATTTAAACGTATTTTACGAATGCGACAATTGCCAACACTAACTACACTGAGCCACAAAGAGTGGATGATACCTCAATAATGATTGATTTGAATTTTTAAAAGGGATTTCCAAGAGACCTTTATTCTCATTGTATTGGCCGCAGTTATTTTTTACTCAAAATTATTTTAGAAAGATTAACGGTATGATTAGTATAATCATATCGTTAATCTTCCTAAAATAACTCTTAGGACCACACTTATTATACAGAATAACTATCTTTATCTAAACTTAACATGAAATTAACTTTTCTTGAAAAGAAAAAAGAGACAGGATAGGCGCATGCTCCAATACCTAAACCCTTTTTCATACATACACACCTTTACCCCTTAGGGGTAGATAAAGCCGATCCGAAGCCCGGCGCCGATTTCGGGTATTTCGACCTGCATGTTTTCAGAACAGTAGCAGTCTTTAATGTGGATTTAATCGTACTCAACAATATATGACGGGTCAACCACCTCTTCTTTGTGATAATTTAGTTACAGAACACATAGGATGACCAAACCCGTCGCCACCGTTTATATTGCATGTTAAATATGTATATAAAGGTGAATCATGTATACACAAAGACTTGTGCTTCCAGTTCGAGGAAACTTTAGAATTGATTCAAGATAAAATAGATAAAAATGTTTTTACTTTGATTATCACACTTGGTACACTTATATTCTACAAAAAAAAAAAGTCTGTCTTAGTTTTAAAATTGAAAGTTAATGTTTGTTAAATTAATGTATCTATCATCAAATCACAAAGAAATGACACATTTCATGTGTTAGAAGGCAAAACAAGATCTACACTAGGTATAAAAGGTAGGTATACATATAAAGATTGTTTACCGAGATACAATATTCTTGTAGACATTTTAAAGCTACTTAATAAAAAATCAAGAGCTATTTTGAATTGCTTCTTCAGACGTATTTCATAATTGGTATATTTAGTTACATCAGTAATAAAACAATGAACAAAGAATGAAATCAGTTAAGCAGGAATAAATTTATCTTTTTTTTTTGCTATCGTTGTCAGTATTGTGCCGACGCGACGTGTTTCAGTATAATGTACTGATTTCAAATTGCATAATACGCTAAAATGGCTATGATGTAGTTCGTTTACACGTGTAGTAGGTACATGTTTACACTTGTTTTAATCTTTATGCCCAGTTTACATGCGTGCCGAGGCTTGGCAAACGTCCACAAGCTCCAAGTCTTTACAAACGCTTGGATGCCATTTACACGCTTGCGAGTGTGCTTTTGTGTTCCGGACAGGCAAACAAAGCAGACGTGGACATATTTTGACGTGACAACGTCTTATAAATTGGTTTGCCGGGTGACACTTCAAGAAACTGCGTTACGCTCCGCTCACGTTATGCGCTCACAATGAGAGCGAGTGAGAGGCACGCGTCCCTTCCAATCGGGCATGGTTAGCCCGCCTAAGAGCGAGAGAGACAGACATAGTCGTTGTCACGTAAAACTTTCGCCCGTATACCGACTTTACAGGCAACCAATTTTTTTGTAAAAGTGATCAATTTTTTATTCAAAATATAAACGACGTCACTTATGTAAAAAAAATATTCTCTAGCCCTACTGCTCAATCAGTAGTGCATTGAGACTTTGTTGGTTCCCGACTGCTCAACTACAATGCTTATAATATCAAATTGAGCAGTAGGGAACAAGCACGCGCCGACTTTACACGTTGGCGCGTGCTTGTTCCCTACTGCTCAATACGGAGCTTCCTTTAATCTGTGTTCAAAAACCGACAGTAATACCGATCGACGACGAGCATATGCGAGCCGAGCCAAACACCCAAAATGTTTTATTGATGCGTTTGAATTTGAAATTGAAATTGAATTTTCAATTTGCCATCCATTTTTTTGCAATATTGATTTATTTAGGTACGAATTTACATTTCGGCATTTCATTGCTCTTTGATGCGCTAGTGTGCAGTGCAGTAGTAATCAT